TAAAATTCATAGTCTCAGTTAACACTTTCCATGTTATATTTTCTGGCACACATTTTTATAGTGGAAAACAGGGGACTAAATGGTCAAATAACTTTTGGAAATCTGAGGTAAATTTAAGCATATTTCTTCAGTTATGAATTCTAAATCTCTTGAAAAGGGATACAGTATATAATGTTTATTTAGCTTAAATGAGTATAGAACCTTTTCTCAAGAAATACTTGTTGATACTGCTAGTTTTGCATACAACACAGTTTGGAAGCAGTGCTTTTAAAAAATGATTTATACTTCTCTGAAAACAGAAAACCCTTGACAAAGTTAGTTTGGACAGCTTGGTACTGTAGTTCCTTCCGTGAGGTTGGTTAGTGGATATTTCATAGAGTTGGGATTTTGGCCAAAGAGTGAACCACTCCCTCCCACCAACAGACACACATGCCAGCTGAGGAAGTAAATGGTCCCATGTAACTTTAGGGCTTCAGAAAATTAAACTTTTTTTTTCACTAGCAATAATCAATTGAAGTTAAGGCAGCATATTTTATGTACATTCGTGCATGTATATCTTTTTAATTTTTCTGGTATTTTAGATTTTATGTGGCTGGTTTTTCACTTAAAGAATTAGTGGGAATTCTTTAGTAAAACTGACAATATTCCAAATCGAAGGTCATTAAAATAGTTGAATCATTATTTAACTTGACTCATTGAAATGAAGAGGAATATACTCTTTGGTAATTCATATAAAGCTAACTCTAGGATGAGAACCAACATCTAAGCAATGGAACTGTTAGACATGGACTTTAAAGTTAGCATAGTCAAAGCACTATAAGACAAGATTAAGAATTTTGGCAGATCAGTTAAAACCATAAAGCAAACCATCTGTAAATTCAGAACTGAAAATATATGAACATATTAAGAACTCAGTGTATAGTTGGCAGAACAGCTTAGACACAGCTAAAGAGAGAATTAGTTAACCAGAAGGTAGGTCAGAGGAAGTTATCCAAATTGAAGCTCAGAGAAACAGAAGGATAGAAAATAAAGAGTTTAAAGACATATGAGATAAGATGGAAAAGTTTAACATATGTGTAATTATAGTCCCAAAGGGAAGAAAGAGAGATGGACATAAACAATATGGATAGACCCTGAAGCCATGGATTCAAAAAGTGTTGTGAATTCTAAGTGGGAGAAATACAGAAATCCCATACTTAGGCATAGAATAGTAAAATGTTAGAAAAGTAAAGAAGAAAAATCTTAAAAGCAGCCAGAGGGGAAAATCTGTTATCTTGAAAAGAGCAGTAATAATACTAATTTATAGCTGACTTCTCAGCAGAATCAATGGAAACCAAAAGACAGTGAGCTAATACATCTGAAGTGCTAACAAATCTTATCTGTCAACCTAGAATTGTTTACCCACCAAAAAATGTCATTTAGAAATGGACGTGAAATGGGAGCACCTGGCTGGCTCAGTTAGTATGACGTGTGACGCATCTTGGTAGACATGACCTTGGGATCATGAATTCGATCCCCATGTTGGGGTTAGAGTTTACGAAAGAAAGAAAGAAAGAAAGAAAGAAAAGAAAGAAAGAAAGAAAGAAAGAAAGAAAGAAAGAAAGAAAGAAAGAAAAAGAAAAAGAAATTGGGGATAGAGTTTACTTAAAACAAAAAGAAATTGAGATGAAATGGAGATATTTTTCAGATAAACAATACCTAGAGAATTTATTTCTAGCACACCTACATAAAAGAAATACTATTTTCAGACAGAAAATGATCCCAGTTAAAAACCCAGAGATGTTACAGGTAAACAGGACAACTATTTTGGGTAAAATTGCATATATTATATTGGCTGTGTAAAACAAAAACATAGGATTTACATATTTATAGAAACTATTTTATGACAACTATTTTGCTGGCATGTTGGTTTTGGACCCACACTACCTCTAAATCATGACTTGCACAAGGATAATACCTTTCCCTCTCACATACCTGTATTATATTTACTTTGATATGATTCAGCTACTATCAACTCTTACCTTTGCCCCTTTATTTAAAATAGTGCAAGACAACAACCACATATAAGTTAGAAGGAGAAATGATATGGGTTTGAAAATTTCTATTAAGTTATTCTGCTTATAGGAGACATACCTTACATGTAAACATATAGAGAGGTTGAAAGCAAAGGGATGGAAAAGATACCTCATGCAAACATCAATTAAAAAAACTGATGTGTGTGTATTAATATCAAAGCAGCCTTTAAAACAAAATTATTAGAAGAAAGAGGAACACTTCATAGTGATAAAAAGATTCAGTTAATCAAGAAAATAAACAGTTCTAAATTTTTTCCCATAATAATGTAATCTCAAAATATATAAAGCAAAAATTTTTATGTATTAATATCAAAGCAGGCTTGAAGAAAAAATTATTAGTAGAAGAAAGAGGAACATTTCATAGAGATAAAAAGATTCAGTTCATCAAGAAAATAATTCTAAATTTGTTCCCATAATAAAATAAAATTTATAAAGCAAAAATTGTCAGAATTAAAAGAAATCGACAACTTGATCATAATGGGAGATATTTTTTTTTTTTTTTTTTTTTTTTTTTTTAACTTTTTTTTTTTTTTTTCAACGTTTATTTATTTTTGGGACAGAGAGAGACAGAGCATGAACGGGGGAGGAGCAGAGAGAGAGGGAGACACAGAATCGGAAACAGGCTCCAGGCTCTGAGCCATCAGCCCAGAGCCTGACGCGGGGCTCGAACTCATGGACCGCGAGATCGTGACCTGGCTGAAGTCGGACGCTTAACCGACTGCGCCACCCAGGCGCCCCCATAATGGGAGATATTAATAATACACTTCTCTCAGTAAATGCTAGAACAGTAGACAAAATTAATAAAGATACAGTCCTTTCAAATAATATGATTAACAACACTGACCTAATTGACATATGTCAGTATATTGCATGATTTCAGAATATACATTTTTTAAAGAACGTTTACCAAAATTGATTACATTCTGGTTCATGGAGCAAATGTCAGTAAATTTAAAAGGATTGAAATGATAGTATGTTCTCTGACCATATTGGAATTATTCCAGAAATCAGAAAAAATAGGTAAGTAGAAAATCTCTGTAGGTTTGGAAATTAAGAAGTAAAATTCTAAATAATCCATAGATCAAAGAAGAAACTCAATTTAAACCAGAAAATATTTTGAATTATAACAAAAGTATGACATATCAAAACTTGTAGGGTGCAGCAAAAGTCACATTTAAGGGAAATTTATAGCCTTAAATTTATGAATTAGGAAAGAAAGGCTGAAATCAGTGACATAAATATTCATCTCAAGGAGTTAGAGCAACAATAAACAAATTAAATTCAAAGAAAATAGAAGGATATGACCCAAACAGCACAGGTAACAAAAACAAAAGAAGTGGGTTTATACCAAACTAAAAAGCTTCTACACATCAAAGGAAGCAATTAACAGTATGAAAAGACAATCCACAAAATGGGAGAAAATAGTTGCAAACTGTAGGTCTGATTAGGGATTAATTTCCACAATATATAAGGACTACATAAAACTCAATAGCAAGAAACCTTAATGACCTGATTTAAAAATCAGCTAGGGGGAGCGCCTGGGTGGCTCAGTTGGTTCAGAGGGGGACTTGGGCTCAGGTCATGATCTCATGGTTTGAGTTCAAGCCAGTTTGAGTTCGAGCCCCGCATTGGGCTTTGTATTGACAGCTCAGAGCCTGGAGCCTGCTTCAGATTCTGTATCTCCCTCTCTCTCTGTCCCTTCCCCACTCTCACTCTGTCTCTCTCTCTCAAAAATAAATAGAGATTAAAGAAAAAAAATTTTTTTTTATATCAGCTAGGGATTTGGATAGACATTGCTCCAAAGAAGACATACAGGTTGCCAGCAGGTATATGAAAAAATGCTCAACATCACTAACCATTAGGGAAATGCAAATCAAAATCACTGTGGGATATATCACCTCCCCCCTCTCATGATTGCTGTTATCAAGCAAAAGACAACTAATGTTGGCAGGTGTGTGGAGAAATCAGAGCCTTGCATACTGTTGAGGAAATGCAAAATAGTAGCTATTTTGAGGAGGTTCCTCAAAAAGTTATTAAATTTTTTTTAATGTTTATTTTTGAGAGAGAGAGAGAGACAGAGCATGAGTGAGGGAAGGGCAGAGAGAGGGGGAGTCAAAAAGTTAAAAATAGAACTACAGTATGATCCAGCAATCCTAGATAGATATCAATCCAAACGAATTGAAATCAGAATCTTGAGAGAGATTAGCACTTCCCATGTTTATTGCATCATTGTTCACAATATCCAAGATATGGAAATAATACAGATGTCCATTGACAGATGAGTGGATTAAGAAAATGTGGTATATACGTATAGTGGTATGTGGTATACGGTCTTTAAAAAGGAAATTGTGACGTATCTAAAATAGTCAAATTCATAGTCTCACAGAGTGGAATAGTGGTTGCCAGGAACTGGGGCAAAGAGGAAATGAGTTACTCATCAGCAAACCTAAAGTTTCAGTTAGGCAAGATGAATAAGCTCTAGAGGTCTGCTGCATAACCTTGTACCTATAGTCAGCAATGTATTAATATATTAATATTAGTATGTGTAAATGCATATACACTTAAAAATTTGTTAAGAGTAAATTTCATGTTAAGTACACTTACCACAGTAAAATAAAATTAAAAAAAAGAAAATGGAAGGAAATAATCAAGAATAGAAATCAACATAAGAGAAAACAAAATACATTAGGGAGGATCAACGAAGCCAAAAATTGGTTCTTAGTCTTTTCAAATAATATTGATAAACCCTGGCACAACTGTCCAGAAAGAAGACTGAGAACATAAATCATGAATAAAAAATGAGACATTACTCTAAATCCTTTACCCAAGCCCATTAAAAAGATGGGAAAATATGAACAAATTCTTGAACTGATTTTGATCATAATAATTGTTGTAATAATCTGAATTTTTCTTTTTCCAATATAGGCACAACAGCAGAAAACCTTCAGTGTTGCTTTGCAGAAGCAAAATCGTGTACAATTTGGGAAGAATATTCACTTCAATGATAGAATTCCAGAAGAAAGGAATGAAGTTGAATTGAAACGTGCATTTGAGGAAGAGGATGAGAATGAAGAAGAGGTGACAGGAGTTCCTTCCTTTTTCCCTCCTTCTCTCCCTCCCTCTTCTTCTTCCCTTTCTTTATTTTTTTTCCATGAATTTCTTCTTTTCAGTTGTGATGTACATCTTTGTGACTGTCAGTCTTCCTATGTGCAAATTGAATTTATGTTTGTAATGAGCTGTTAAGTTTGTAATGAGCTATTAGAGCAATGTGTCATCTGAAATAATAGACTGCATAATTGACAGACAAAACAGGATATATTCTAGATTACATTTATAAGCCATAGGTAGTTGAACCTGGGTGTTCTGCCATAATTAGCAGTAAAATTGTAAATGTAATGATTTTTTTTGTAGTGATCACTCATTTTAATTATCTGTGGCAAACTTTTAATTTCATGATGGCTTGACCTTGCTGTTTAGACTAATTCTGGAAAGCCCACCTTCCCCCACCCCCCATTAGTGCTGAGATATTACAGAATGGTTCTAATATGATTAAAGTTTTTTAATTCTTAAAAAAGTTTTATGTCTAGAAAACTTGAAATTATTCTTAAATATTCACTTTCTTTCATCCTCTATATCCAAATTTATTCCTGATCTTACTCTGTACACAAAGTGTTCAGTTGAGCCTACTTTCTGTCTTTTCCTTTGAATGTTTTTTTGAGTTTAGTTAATGCCATGAGGAGGCTGTTAAGTTTTGCTTTTGTCATTGAGATTTTAAATTCTGTTTCTAAAGTCCTAGTCAGGGCATAGTAGAACTTTTAATTAACTGATAAACCATATGAATGTATGCCCATGGTCTTCTCTGTGCTTTGAAAACAACTGAATGTTCAGTATGTATGTTTCTACTATATGCCTGAAGATGAGTGAGACTATATGCATTTATGTGTGTGTATCTCCATGTATGTGTGTATGTACACACATGTATTTGTATGTATATGCATATGTTGTGGAGTCTGATATTGTACTGAATACAGACAAATAAACTGCCTAAGACAGTTTAATGTCTTCTTAATGTGGAATTAGTGAGTCCTGATTAGTCTCTGGAAATTAAATAAATGGTTTTGAAATTTACTTTTTTGTTCTTTCTTAATCAGTATTCAGAGAATCTCTATATTCTCTCCTCCCAAGCATGTTAGTGATATACAGTCTCTGTCCTTTAATCACCTTATAATCTAAAATACTCAACAATGATGATTAATACATAAAGAATGAACTATTGAATAAAAGCCAAGACAATTAAAAGGCATTGTGTTAATACTATGTGATTTTTATAGTTGATAAATGTTATAACATGAAGTCTATGAGTCTCCTTGTCTATCTTTAACTTAACATTATCCAACAGTAAGCTAGTAGTTTGATATTTAAAATGTGGTTTTATTTCTCAGGTCTTAACTGTTCAGGATCTGGTTGATTTTTCTCCTGTTTACCGATGTTTACACATTTATTCTGTTTTGGTGAGTATCTTTTGTATATGTATAGTGTGTGTGTCTGTGTATATGTGCACATATGTATGTATATACACATAAATATTTGTATAATAAGAAAGACATGTACACATTTTAGGCCTGCTTTTCTGAAGGCTTACCATAAATTCAATGAGTTGTAAATCTTCATGCATAAATATTTGTGAAATATTCCCTGCAAGTAAAGCACTTACTTTTTTCTATAAATTATCATAATCTGCTTTCAAGTGATATACCACTTCATGTAGAAGAACCTTAACAATATACTTTCATTTCACCCTTCTTATATTTGTGCTAGTGTTGCATCATAATTATTTTAAAATATATTGCTTCTACATATGTTTACTTCTTCAACATTATATTCATTTTTGATTAAACAATTATTCTTTCGAAAAATAATAGCATTATTGGGGTGCCCGAGTGCCTCAGTCAGTTAAGCATCGACTCTTGGTTTTGGCTCAGGTCACAATATCACAGTTCTTGAATTCAAGCCTGTTTGGGATACTCTCTCTCTCTCTCCTGTCCTGCTCATGCTGTCTCTCCCTCTCTAAATAAATAAATAAGCTAATTCCAGAACATTTCATTATCAAAGAAAGAAACCTCTTACCCATTAATAATCACTCCTCATTCTCCCCTCCCTTAGCCCCTGGCAACCACGCATGTACTTTCTATCTCTATAGATTTGCTTCTTCTGGATATTTCATATAAATAGCGTCATAGTAAATGTGGGTTTTTGTGTCTTGGCTTCTTTCACATAGTTGGAAGTTTAGGTTATTGACTGAGATCTTTTTTGTTTTTTAATACAGACATTTACAGCTATAAATTTCCTTCTAACCACTGCTTTAGCTGCATTCCATGAGTTTTTGTATGTTTTTTTGTTTCCATTCATCTCAAAATATTTTCTAATTTCTTGTTATTTGTTCTTTAACCCAACAGGTAGTTAAGGATGTGTTGTTTCATTTCCATATGTTTGTGAATTTCCCAAAAGTTCTTCTGTTACCAATTCCAAATTTTATCTCACTGTGGTCAGAGACCATACTTTGTATGACTTCAGGCCTTTTAAATTTATGGAGGCTTGTTTTATGGCCTAACATATGGTTTATCTTGGAGAATGTTCCATGTGCATCTGAGAAGAATGTGTATCTGGCTGTTGTTGTGGTGTGTTGTAGACATCTGTTAGGTCTAGTTGATTTAATACTGTTACTCAAATCTTCTTTCCTTGTTGGTCTTCTGCCTATTTGTTATTGAAAGTGGTAATATTGAAGTCTCCAATCGTAACTGTTGAATTATCTATTTTTCCTTTAGTTTTGCCACTTTTCATTCATGTATTTTTGAGGCTTTGTTTTTAGGTGAATGTATATTTATAATTATTATATCTTCATGGTGGATTAACCTTAGTTCATTATGAAATGTCATTCTTTGTGTATTCTTTTTTTTGGCTTACGGTCTATTTTGGCTGATACTAGTATAGCCACTCTAACTCTTTTGGTTACTATTGGCATGGTATATTTTTCCATCCTTTTATTTTCAATTTCTTTGTGTTTTAGAATCTAAAGTATGTCTCTTATAGATAGCATATAGATGAATTTTTAAAAATCCAGTCTGCCTATTTCTGCCTTTTGATTGGAGTGTTTAATTTAATTCATTTGCTTTTATTTCATTTCATTTCATTTTAATTTAATTTAATTTTTAATTTTATTTTAGTGTTTATTCATTTTTGGAGAGACAGACACAGAGAATAAGTGGAGAAGTGGCAGAGAGAGAGGGAGACACAGAATCTGAAGCGGGCTCCAGGCTCTGAGCTATCAGCACAGAGCCCGACACAGGGCTCGAACTCATGAACTGTGAGATCATGACCTGAGCCAAAGTCGGATGCTTAACCAACTGAGCCACCCAGGAGCCCCATAGTTCATTTGTGTTGAATGTAATCACTGATAAGATCAAATTTGTACCTACCATTTGTTTTAATATATCTTATTTCTTTTTTGTTCTATCCCTCCAATACTTTCTTTTGAATTAAGTAGATGTTTTCTCATGAACCATTTTAATTCTCTTGTCATTTCTTTTAACATGTCTAAACATATATATATTAGTAACATAACTACATATATATGTATGTTAATTATATATAAATATATTTAAATATATAAATAAACGTAATATATGATAATTAACATATATATGTACACACATGTAATATATATAGTATTTCCTTAGTGTTTGCCCTGGAGATTATAATTTACATCCTACCTTAAAACAATCTAGTTAGGGGCTCTTGGGTGGCTCAGTCGGTTAGGCGTCCGACTTTGGCTCAGGTCATGATCTCATGGTTCGTGGTTTCGAGCCCCGCTTCAGGCTCTGTGCTGGCAGCTCAGAGCCTGGAGCCTGTTTCGGATTCTGTGTCTCCCTCTCTCTCTGCCCCTCCTCTGTTCACGCTCTGTCTCTGTCTCAAAAATAAACAAACATTAAAAAAAATTAAAAAACCAGTCTAGTTCATATTAATCTTCCTCTTTTGTGTTATTATTGAGATACTACTTACATTTTTATACATATAAACCATAATATAACTATTTATTTATACAGTTGTTTTCTGAATCAGAAGAATGGAATTACAAAAATAAAAGTATGTTTATACTGTCTTTATATTTACCTCTATATTACCTTTACTGAGACTTTATTTCTTCATGTTAATTAGAGTTACTGTCGTGTTCTTTTATTTTTGCCTCAAGGACTACCTTTTGTATTTCTTTTAGGGAGGTCGACTAGCATCAAATTCTTTCAGTTTTTGTTTATCTGGGAATGTCTTAATTTCTTCTCTGGTTTTTATGAGTAGTTTTTCTAGATATAGAATTTTTGGTCTTTTTCTTTCAGCACTTAGAATATGTCTATGGAAGGCATTTATATTTAACTACATCTACAGAAGGCATTTATAGGTAAGGAGTTTTGAGGTTTGGATTACTCACTGAAATTGGATTAAGTTAAAATTAAAATAATTGAAAAGGAATGGTAATTATGTTAATTAGAGCAAATAGCATTATCTTCATTAGTTAGCTTAATTTTTTCTTTTAGCTCTCTAGTAAAAGCAGGACCAACTCTGTACTTATGAGCCAATATAAAAGTGATAAGCACAATATCAATCTAAATGTATTGTTTTACAAATTAGTGATGTTTCAAGTGTGTTGAGCATTCTTGAATAGACCTATAAAATTTTTTTTCTTGGTAAAGCTGTAATAAATTATAGTATCATATTTATTTTGTTTTTAAAGTTTACTATTTTGAGAGAGAACATGCACGCATGTGCATGATTGGGGGACAAATAAAAGGAGAGGGAGAGAGAGAATCTCAAGCAGGCTCCATGCTTACAGCACAAACTCAGGAGCCATGAGGTCATGACTGGTGCTGAAACCAAGAGTCAGATGCTTAACCGACTGAGCCACCCAGGCACCCCTAAATTATACTATTGTGTAAAAACAATCATACTTTTAGTCTATTCTATGATGAAATAATTTTTCAAGTGTGTGTGTGATTATAAAATACTTTAACTGCTTAGATTCTTTTCAAATTTAGTGTTTTATGTTTTATAATATCATTAGTAGTATATACATTTACCCACATTTATAACCTGAGAGAGAGGATAGGTTCCATCAAGATTACATTGATTACATTGATATATATAGTAACATTGAAAAATTGGCTTCCAAGGGTGCCTGGGTGGTTCAGTCGGTTGAGCATCCAACTTCAGCTCAGGTCATGAGCTCATGGTTTATGAGTTTGAGCCCCGCGTTGGACTCTGTGCTGACAGCTTGGAGCCTGGACCCTGTTTCTGATTCTGTGTCTCCCTCTCTCTCTGCTCCTCCCCTGCTCATGCTGTCTCTCTCTCTATATCAAAAATAAATAAACATTAAAAAAAAATTAAAAAAAAAAAGAAAAATTGGCTTCCAGTTGTCTGATCTCAAGTTTTTCTTTTCTTTTTTTTTCTTTGTTTTGTTTTTAAATTAGATCATATTGGATTCTAATCAAGATGAGGTTCTTAATTATCTTAGTCGTTAAAGTGGCTTGTGTTGTGGTTTGATTCTTTAAAAACTCCTTTCAAATTAGATTTTTTTTCCCTATAGGTTTTTGGTCTTAGTGGAGAAGAATGATTTTTTTGCTTTGATAATGCTTAATTTTTCTGTCTTACATGGGCCCAGTAAACTGCAGTGAGTGCCAACAGGCACTTCTGTTACTTTGTGTTATCCTTGTTCTATGTCTGCCTGATCCAGAAGGATAGTGACCATGACAGTGTTGTTTATTGTTCTTTGCCTAGTGCCTTTCATTGCATCTGATACTTCATAAAAATTTGCTGAATTAGTAATTGGCTCTTTAATACCACACTAAATGTTAGTAACATTATTTCATATATCTTTATCCTGGTAGCTTATGTCAACAGGCATTAATCTCTGGGAAAGAATATGTCTTTTATACCTTGTGCAAAAAAATATTGAACCAACAGATATTATATGAGGTTTCAGTGTGGCTTTCCTGAGAATGATATGTTGGGTATTAAATTATGTTTCAGTTTTCATGATTTAAAATGAAAGAAACAAAAGCCTAATTAAATTATCAAAATGATCAAAAGTCAGTGGTAGAGAACGAATAGAATGATAGAAAGTTTTAGACTCCAGTCAGCTTTGTGATTATTCATAAAGAATCTGTGAGTCAAATAGCCAAATATTCAAATTAATGAAAAGTCTCAGAATTTATATGTTATTATAATGAACTATTGATTTATAATTTTTGATAACTTACTTTTAGTTCTCTGTATGTTTTTATATCTTTTATTTCTTTATATAAAGAATTTATAAATTTAAGAAACCTGCATTTTAAAAGATGTCAGTTTTGACTAATTCAGGCAAGACCTTTTCCCTTTTTTACTGTGTGAGCAAGGTTTTACTGTTCTATAAATGTAAATAAACTTTCATTAGCAAGAAAACTTCTAGTTGGTATATATG